TCAGCCTCAACATTACATGGAACCATCAAGGTCTGACTGCAGGGATGCTTGTTCAGCAGTCATATGTCCTTTCATGTAGCCATTGTATGTGGTAGGTAACTGTTATCTTCATTTTACAGAGAGGAAACTAGGACACATGCAACTTGTCTATGGCATGTTAAGTGATGAAACTGGGCTTAAACCTTGGTATTGAACTATAGTTCTGAGGTGCCTTCCTTGGGCCTACAACCATTGAATAGAAAGGCCTATATCTGCTTCACTTGGTAGGCCACAGTACTTAAGGATTTCAGAATTGTTATTGTGGGGTGATTTTATGATGACTAATTAGACAAAAGCCATCAAAGGAACCAAGAAACAAAATTTCAAGGCATTTAAGATGTACACAGAAGCAAATGGTCTTTATTTAGTAAAGGCTGCATTAAATAAAATCCACATTCATATCTTACATCCTTAAACAAGAAACATCTAAAGAAACCATGTTGCTTTCTCTGAAACATAGAATTATGAAAAATAAATATTATTCTTTAAAGTAGAAAAATAAGAGAGGCAAAAATGCAGCCCTACTAGTGACACAAAAATTATAGAAACTTAACACTCCACTTTCTCCAAGCATTTACAGAAAGTCACCATCATCAGTGTGTACATAGCCTTAGTGAAGGAGTTTGCAAGGCAGAATTGATGTTGAGTGAAATTTCTAATTTTTAGTACTCTGACTTATTGTTTTTATTATCTTGAAATGTGAGACTGTCATCATTCTAAGCAGCTAGCTACTTTATTCCCCTGACTTGGAAATAAAAATACGTAACTCATTGCAGACAATGCAACAGCTTCTTGTGAAGGAAAGAGAAGAGCAAGTTTGGAAATGCCTGGCATTTCTCTGTCTCCCCTGGTGCTGTGTCAGTATCTGACAGCAATTCTAAACTTACTCTTCTAAGAAGGCTACCCAGTGCCCCCACCACCACCACCACATTCACAGTACCAAATTTAGACTGAAAAAGGAGCACCTAAATACTACTATCCATGCAGCTTTGTAGAATAGAGTAGAAGACTGAGTAAATCCCACACAGAGATTCAGGGCCACTGCTAGTCAGAGTGTAGGGTAATGAAAATTTTCGTCTAAGACTTGCCATCTTCAATTTAAACATTGTCCCGTTCCTTTGTTGTACCTTGTACCTGTGTGGCATGCCCTGGCCACCCAGGCACCCCCTGGTTCAGTAACCTGCGTAAGTCTCCTTCTACAGGCTACAATCATGCTGAGATTTTTTTTTTTTTTTTTTCCCCTTATCAAAAATTACTTGCACTAGATCATATTCTCTCAGGCTTTACTCTCTGTCTTCCCCAACTAGAGTGAAAGTTCTGTAAGGACTCTTGCCTGCTTTCTTCACTGCAGGGTCCTAAGCACCTAGAATAGGGTCTAGCAGGTGCAATTAAAGAACAAACCCTTGTACATCATCTTGTCAATAGCTATTAGAGGCTTAAGTTAGAGCCTCCAGAGCCAGATATGGCCACCAGGAATATCCTCTTTGTCCTATAGTATGTTTGAGACATTTTTGTTTTAGCTTGGGAGCAATCATTTAAAAATCCTAGCTTCTTTGAAAAAGGTAGATGATCTCATATCCATGGCAAGTGCCTTCCCTCCCATAAGCGGAGCGTGGCCTTTCCCACTTCCCTACCATGCCCTGTTGGCTTCCCTACACAGAGACAGTATCAGTTCCAGTATTAAGAAGCCAGGAATAGAATTTCTGACTATTAGGATTCTTACACCTGGCCTACAGTTACTTTATTTGTTGGTGATATTAGAATTTGGGTGTGTGACTCCAGTCTTTAAACATATTCCTTCCAGGTAATGTGTTTTGTTTTGTTTAGAGTGTTTTGAAAACTTAAAATGTCTAATGGCATGGCTGGAAATTTCACGCATTGTAGCAGGAGAAATATTCAGGCTCATAGAGCATTGAAGACCTACGGTGAAGGTGGCTGCCATTCCTATCCATACATGGGCCCTTTGTTAGAAAAAACTGAGACCCTAGATTTTTCTCATTTCCTGAAGGCTTTCCGCCTCTCAGGCTCTCAGAGGATCTCCAGTGCGCATTACCTTTTAGTATTACATCTATTCACATTTTGGATGCTGGCTTTTTCCAAAGAACCATATTCATAGAGCTCTTGCAAAATCTTTATCTAATGGTTAACTCAGTGTGGAAAGGATATTTCTTGTCACTCAATTTATATGCAACAACAGCTTGACCACAGTCCACTTAGCACAGCCTGAAGTATCTAGTTAGAAACCATCTGGAGATGGAGAACAGCAAAGGTACTCCAGGAAGATCACTCAGGCCTCAAAGGAATTTTTCCTCCTGTTTGGCCATGCACATAATTAAGAATCACTGGATAGGAACAAACCACTAGTTTGTTTCACATCTTGGGGAACCTGGTAGCCTGTGAAAGAGATAGGTCACTTCTTGGTATCTTACTGGCTAAATACCAGACTAATTCACGAAGGTTTCTGCTATGAGGAGAGGAAATCATACTGCAAAAGATGGCTGTAACTGTAACTTTACTTAAAATGGTGTCGTTATCAAAGCCAAATCATGTTAAAGTAAGAAGATCATTTTGATCATTGAAATTTACCAGTTATATAATAGTGTAAAACTTCAGACTGACGTGCTTCTTTAACTTATGTTCATATTTTAAATGTAAAGTTTTATGTTGAAAAAACTAAGTAGCTCTTTTTTGAGGAAGCTTTATCCACTACATGTATTTTTAAGCTAAAATAGTTTACATAATAAGTAGGCATTCTTCCCATGTTTGAGGCACAACAGGAAACAAGCCAAATGAAGTCGCTGCTCTCCCAGAGTTTGCATTCATTTGCCATTTAATAAACACAGGTCAACGGAGAGTCTGTCAGGTAAACAAGCCATGAGGGCAAAGGTAACCAAGGAGCTAGAGTTGGGGGAGGGGCGGGATGCGCGGCAAGGACTGATCTTTTATTTAATGAAGTCTGAGAAGGTGATGTGAGAGCTGAGACCTCAGTGGAGTAAGGGAGCCAGTGGTGGCCAGTCATGCAAAGAGTGCGGCAAGACGCCCCAGGGAGGACTGACAAGTGCGAACATCCCCAGGGCACGTGCTCAGCATGCTCAAGCTTCAGCAAGCCAGCCAGTGAGGCTGGAAAGGAATGAGCATGGACAAGAGGATGTGATGTCACAAAGGAACCAGGGGGCAGACTTGCAGGGCCCAATGGGACATTGTAAAAACTTTAGAGGTTTTTAAGCAGGAGAGCAACTAGCTAAAATTTGTACTTTAAAATCAGTGATTAAGTTAGTAGTGATGAGGTATTAATATTTCTTGCCATGTCACTTATCACATACTATGTGCTAAGCACTTTACCTATACTGTTTAGTCTTTATAACAGCTGTGTAACTGCAGTCACTGTGGCTATTCTTGTAGGACAGAGAAGGCAATAACTATGCAGTTTGTTGTGAGTAACTTGCTCACAGCCACACAGGTAGTACATGTCAGAGCTAGGCTTAGTAAAATAGTATTTTTAAATCTTTTAATACTTTTCAGGAAGTATCACAAAATATGCCCTAGATATAATTAATTTTTCCCATTCATTTTACATTAATGTAGCCTTAAATGAAAGGAATCTTAAGGCTCATAAAGATTATAACTTGCCTGTTTTCTAGATTTTTTAAGTGTAAGAGCAGTATCATCATACAATAATTATTATCTTCTCATTAGAGAGAAGAATATGTAAAAGAACCACCCAAAAATCAAACCTCCTTATAGTCCCTACAGAGCATGGGTTCTTAATCTTAATTCTAAAATTCTAAATTGTATTTCAGCATCATTGATTTCCTTAATAATGTTAAGTATTTTTTAATGTACTTAAAAACATTCTGAGCTCATAGCACTATTTACAATAGCCAAGAAATGGAAGCAACCTAAATGTCCATCAGTAGATGAATGGATAAAGAAGATGTGGTACATATACACAATGGAATATTATTCAGCCATAAGAAGAAAACAAATCCTACAATTTGCAACAACATGGATGGAGCGAGAGGGTATTATGCTCACTGAAATAAGCCAGGTGGAGAAAGACAAGTACCAAATGATTTCACTCATATGTGGAGTATAAGAACAAAGGAAAAACTGAAGGAACAAAACAGCAGCAGAATCACAGAACCCAAGAATGGACTAACGGTTACCAAAGGGAAAGGGACTGGGGAGAATGGGAGGGAAGGGAGGGATAAGGGTGGGGAAAAAGAAAGGGGGTATTATGATTAGCATGTATAATGTGTGTGGGGGGCACGGGGAGGGTTGTACAACAGAGAAGACGAGTAGGGATTCTGCAGCATCTTACTACGCTGATGGACAGTGACTGTAATGGGGTTGGTGGGGGGGACTTGGTGAAGAGGGGACCCTAGTAAACATAATGTTCTTCATGTAATTGTAGATTAATGATAACAAACAAACAAAAAAACATTCTGAGAAAGGTTTCCCTTTCTCATAGGCTTCCCCAGACTGCCAGGGGGCCCATGGTATAGAAGCAGGATGTGAAAGGGTCCAGTGAATTTGCTTGAATCTGAGCAGAACTGCTGCAAATGGTATTGAGTTTATTATGTTCTGGAAGGGGGGTGAGTGTCAAGCACAAATCAAGGCCCACAAAGAGGCCAGCTAATAGGTAGACCACGTGTACCAGTCTGGCCAGGATTATCCCAATTTATGTCTCTGTCCAGGTATAATTATCAATATCACCTACTTTCACTCTCAGAAGTGTCCCAATGAGAACAACAAATCATATGGTGACTATGGCTGTTGTCAAGAAAGCAGTGGTCATAGATGTAATGAAATGAGGGCATTTCCAGAACGTGTGGTCGGGCTGCCAACCCCTGAATTCAGACTTACTTTGGTAATGGATGCGTGTAACCAAAGTTATAAGAGTGCACAAGAAGGTACTGGGAGAACACACTGTTTCAATCATAATTATTTCTCTTCCACAGCCAAAAAAGAGCATAAAATGGAAGAAAGCCAGCTGGAGAATGCACAGAAAAGGTAGGCAGCTCTGACATAGCCCCACTTCGTTCTTTGGTTAGCCATTCTTTTTTAACTATTATTATTACCAAGTACATTTACATCACAGTGCAACCACCACCACCATCCATCTCCAGAACTGGTCCATCTTCTCCAAGTGAAACTCTGTGCCTTTCAAACACTAACTCCGCATCTTTACCTTCTCCCAGCCCCCAGCAGCCACCAATCTCCTTTCTGACTCTGTGACTTTGATGGCTCTAAGTGCCTCATGTAAGTGGAACCGTGCAATATTTTTCCTTTTATGAGTGACTTATTTCACTTAGCATAATGTCTGACTAGCCATTCTTTGGGCTCCATTTGTTGAGACTATGCAGTAAGATTCTATCGGGAGCTGGACTGAAAGAACTATAATAAGACCTCAGAATATTTTTCGTCAAGTGCAGAATCATCCAGAAGAGAGCCACATGCCTCACATGTCATGGCACTATTTCCACATATTTGCCTCTCCTCCATCACTCTGCTCCCGAATCCATGGAAGTTGGGAACAGTGTGATCCTTCTTAGCATTACAACTAGATCAGACCAGGTATTACAAACACCTAGGAGACTTACCATGTCTCACCTCAGGTCCTAGAGTGTATGGTAAACAGGGGCAAGTGTGGAAAAGGGACTGACCTCTGTAGATGAAGAGTCTCCCCAGAAACTGGGGTCTTCTATTCAACCCCTTGCCCACTTCAGGCCTCTTTGCTTTTCTCTCTCTTAATAGATACCAGTAGAACCATCCCCTCACCCGGGAGAGCCCAATAATCACTGGCTCTGATTCCTTATAGGGTTTTTCTTTTGTCTGTTGGCCAGGTTAGTCAGTTGGCTATGCCTCCCTCTAAGAAGGGTGAATGGCAATGTACTGAGGCATTCTCATATTGAGGGAACAGAACTGAGATACATTTTGTTGGTACCAATTCTAAAAGTACCAGAAAATTAAATGAGAGGTAAGAGTAAGAAGTAGTGCATAAGGAAAAATGAGCTTCACCAATGTGTGAGGAGAGTTCCTCAAATGCAAATGAACAAACTAGAAATGAGCCATTTTCCTTCTGTTTAGCTATAATTTCCAAGAGTCCTGAAAACCTATAGACAGTACTGTCTGTCCTGTATTACCAGGCGCCAACATCTTACCACTTCCCACTGTATTGGCAATAAAATTAAAACACAGATAAAAGTGAGGTTAAGGCAAATCTTGCAGACATGTTCTTGAATCATGACTATCATCCTAACATGATCATCTTTGAAAACTAAGACAATTTTAGATTTTTGTGGCCCATCCCTATATTGAAGCTTCCCTTCCTCAGTATGTAAAATGCATATATCTATGCTATAGAAATTTTCATCATGTTCAAGAGAGACCATCAACAAAGACATATTGGTATCAGGACAAACAGAAATTTGATTTCTAGAACGGATGTCAAACTTCTAATACTTCTTCAGGATTCTTGCTTAAGGAAGTGGGGACCCACCTTCGAGGGCCAAAGCTGCTGCTGTGCATTAGCTATGCTGAGGGGGTCATAAATTCTGGTTGTCAGCATTTTCCATGACTTTGTGGTGAAGGTAGTCTAGCTTTCATGTCATACATGAAATATGTTAGATCCCATCTTTAATATAGGAACCACAGTTATTTACACTCTTTAAGGAGGTTGGTGGTCACTGTTGCAATATGCATGTGAGATTCAGTAAATTCTTTAGTTTTATTCTCAAGAGAAACAATTTACTCTGAGGCTAAGGAATATTTGCTTTTTCTAAGCAGTTTCTAAAGGCATGCATGTAAAACAATAAGTGGATGTGTCCCGCTTTGGCATCTCACCACTGTGAAAGTAAAACAGCTCACTTTGCTATGGGCTCTGTGATACAATCATTCTCTGTACTTTAAAAATGTTCAGCTAAATTAAAAAAATACAAATCAGACAGGAATGATAGCAGTGGGGAGAGTCAGGAAGTAGTTTAGAGTCAAGTAAAAAAGTTTTATGAAATGTAACATATGACTAGGAGTCAATCTTTTAAAAGTTTAAAGCTGTTTTAGACTTCTCTGCCAACAAACAGAAATTTCAAAAAGTGTGCTTTACCCCTTTGTCTTTTGGAGAAAATTCACCTGGTTGGTAAATAACAGCAATTTTCATGCCCAAATTTCAGAAGGATTTTAATGATCAGTTTTCTGTGAATCAAAATTGAACTTGAAAGGAAGGGCGAGTTGTGTTTGGAGAGGACAATAGCCTAGACCTTATCAAATAGTTTTAGGTTCGGGTTCTAGCTTTAACCTTTCCTCAAACACAGGGATAACACTGAAATCCAATAAGGCCCACCCTTAGAGCAACTTCATCTCTGTCAAAGCTGCAAAGTGCCAGAGCCAGGCCGTCCTCTGAGGGCCTGTCTGCTTTGGTTCTACTGAAGAGACTCACTTGCTTTGTTAGTTTCTAAAGCATATGAGGGAAAACTGCTGAAATTCAGTGTTTCATTTAGCTTTCATCCCTTTTGGGAGTTAGCAAACAGAGCCTCACAAATTCCTAGTTGGAGAGGTGGTCAGGGTACATGACTAGCTTCAGTTTAGAGTTGGGGACAATGAGGCCCCCAGGACAATGAAATGCTCTTCTCAAGCTCTGTGATAACCCACCAAATGATGCTGTCTTTCCCTGGAGCTGCACCAGTATTTATATATCTTGGACTCACAATCTAGACTCCAAATAACAGGAGGTGCCTGGACAGGGGGGTGGGGGTTGGGGGATCCTTGAAGCACAAAGACTGGAGTGTCTGTGCTTTTCACTATATCCTGCTGGAAACTAGGAAAATAATTTGTCCCTCTGAATAGCAAAAGTGAAAGACTTATTCTCTTCTCTGTTAATGCACAAAAAAATATGCTTCTTTAAAGAAGTTGAGCATAAGGAAGAGAAAACCAACGTGCTCTTCTGGCAGTAATGCACATTGTGTAGGATACAGGGGGCAGCTGTGTCTAACGTGGAAACAAAACAAACAAACAAAAGACTATTTCTTACAGGCCTTTATCAGTAAGCATGAGCAACAGAAGGGTAGAACAGAAAAAGCATTTCACAGAGAATCAGGGGACTCAAGATGTAGGCCCAGCTCTGCCAATGAATAAGGTCATTCAGTCTTTGCAGGTCTCTGTTTTCTCATCTTTCAAATAAGAACATTGGACAAGTTAACCTGTAAGTCCTTCCAACTCCTACAGGTTATAAAAGTCTCTACGTACTTCTTTCCATGGTACAATCAATATAATTTTCAGTTTGAAAGAAACAGAAGTATATGCTGTAGAATGTGCATTTGGTTTTATCAGTATTTTGACTGCCACAGAATTAGGAGTCATGTCTGGGGTGAAAGTGGACATTGCTACTTTCTTCCATTATTGGTCTCGCTCCAAAATATGTATGTTTGGAATTATAGGAGAATCCCTTAAGAAGTTACTGCAGTTATTGCCTTTCTCCACTTACACACTACCAGTCTTTTAATAACTGGGAGCCGAAATTCCCCGGCCAGTAGTTTTGATTTGCATTAAAAACAGATTTATTATTTACAGAAGCACAAAGAATTTATGGGACTCAGAGCTGCAGCTCCAGCTTGGATCTCACCTAATCATAGCCATGGAATCAATTAACAGTTCATCTGTGAAATGTGATAAAATCTTATGAGATACATATTGCCCAATAACTGAGAACGAGATGAAAGTATGCTCCATAATAGTAATGGGGCTTCAGGGTTTTACAATCGCCATTGAATAGAGTTCCATTAGAAACTCAGTATTCAGGATGGCCACAAAAAAACACTGTGTCTGAACAGATGATACAGCATTGAGTAATAAACCTGGCCAGCCATTCCTGCTTTGATTAGTTTCCAACACCCTAGAAAAGGGGGCCATTTATTTAAGTGTTCTTGCTCATGGCAAATGAGCTTGTGAGGTTTGGGGTGGGTGAGGGTAGCTGGGGAGAAAGATTGAGTGCAGAGCTATAAATTGCTGCAAAGCTAGTGCCTCCAAGAAGGGCTGCCTGGGAGGCCCGGGTAGTCTGGCATGCAGTGAGCCTCCATGGGGTAGGTCAGGAGGTTCTTAGTGATATCTGGGAATCTACTGTGGAAAACCTGGGTTTTTTTCTGACCATATCAGAGATCTTTTTTTTTTTTTAATTGAAGATGGTCTTTCATCCAAACCTTGCTATGCCCTCAACTATATCTATTTTTATACATTGGTGGTTCATATTCTTGTATCATATCAGTCTTTTAAATTCAGCCTTCTTAAAGATCATATAATCTAAGTCTCCTAAGTCTCATTTTACCTTTTAGAAAAATTGAAAGCCTGATGCTGAGTGATTGACCTGGAATTACAAAGCCAGTAGATGCCAGAAAAGGGATAGAATAGTCCCTTGATTTTCCATGAAACATTCAACAGATCGATTATTCCCAGTGGGAATAACTTCTCATGCTACAGAATCAAAATGTCATTAGTTCCATGGGATCATTGAACATAAAATGAAGAGCTGGTAAATGACATGGATTTGAGATGAAGAACAGATTCGAAAAGGTTTTGCCATATACAGCCCCTAGAGTTATATATACTGGTTTTTATTACAGATAGGATGCACCCAAGAGTATCCCCAATCAAGCTGAGTTTCTTGGAAAATCAGTTTGAGCACATAGGCTTTCTGAGGCTCAGGATAAGCCCCAGCCACCGTGAGCCAGGCTCCCGTGTCAGGGAATAGACCCCCAGGGTCCCCTTCCTCACCCTGATGGATTCTGGCATGGACAGTTTCTCACCCTCCACCTCACTCTCTCTACCTTTTCTCTGACCTGTTGCAGTTTTGAAACAACAGTAGGATATTTTGGGATGAAGCCAAAGTCTGGTGAGAAGGAGATCACACCCAACCACGTGTTTATGGTGTGGTACGAGTTCTGCAGTGACTTCAAGACCATTTGGAAGCAGGAGAGTAAAAACATATCTAAAGAAAGGTAAATTTCTAACAAAGTCATTAATACTCCCTTCCAGAGTCCAGGAAACCACCTTCCCAAACCAGAGTGTGCACAGTCAACACATATCATTATTTTCTTCCAGGGCAAGTAGACACTAAGGAAGGATTATTACCTCAGGGTTCACAGGGAAATTCAGGGGAGGCTTATTGTCCTCCCAAACAGATACATTCACTGGTCTGATAAGTTACACTTTCTTAACTCCTTCCAATTACTAGCTAGTAAATGAAAGGAGAGCTGTGTTAATTTGCAACAGATTGCTTCTCTGTGTATTTTCATGTTGGCTCAGGCTAAATGAGGCAGCCTTGCTGTTGCAGACAGTACAGACAAATAAAAGTGAATGCTTTTCCCATTAATATACTGAACTTGCATCAAAAGGAAATCTCTGAGACTCGGGCCACACTTAACACAGTGTTGAAGGCCCGATCTGGATTTACAGCGCCACTTCTGACTCCCTGTATCCTGCTGAGGACATCAAACTGTGTGCCGCTCAGCCTCATTGCAGCCTCCTGATTTTATTAGCTGGGGTAAAAGAAAAATCTCAGCTCTGAATGCGGGGGGGCGTGGGGGGGGGGGTTGGGGGCGGGAATTGTGTGTGTGTGTGTGTTCATTCTCCTTAGAAACACTGAATTTGGCCCTCTTTATCACAAAATGTTTCTGCCTGATCACTGTTTTGATCAGGTTGCCACTGTTCTGCAAAGGGTGTCATGGATTTAGACTTCAAACAGGTTGCGCTGTCACTCCTGCAGAACAGACTTAGGAGAGTGTCATTCAAAGTGGGATGGGAGACAACAATCTCCAAATTAAGGGAAATTATTTACTTAATTATAGCTTCTACATAACAATAAACTTTGAGACCTGAAATTCCATAATTTAGTATTTTTACTCTTTACTTAGTAATCAGAGAAAAGGTATATACATCATATCTACCCACATTACAATACACTAATATGTTTCACTTTAAAAAGCTACTCTTTAAGGAATCAAAATTTAGAGATTTTTGACCCAGTATTACCAAGTCTCTAAATATTGTGTTATATTTTTTTAAAAGACCGCTTTCTTTTTAAGGAACTCAAAGAGCTTTAAAAATGTTGATCAACATATCTTTCCACCATCACCCCTTTGAGAACATGGAAATTAAAGTGAGTGTATCCACTACATAGATAAACCGAAACAGAGAAGTAGTTCAGTGACTTTGTTAAGAAATGGATTATTGATAATAATATGAAAAAAACCCCATAAATATATTGATACCCAACTCATGATTCTTGCCCTGCAATTGCTAATTTAGCTCTTTAAGCTGAAATAAGCTTCTGTTTAATAAATTCTGTTTTGTGAGCCTCCTAGGAAAGTGATGGAACTATATTCTCACCCTCTAACAGGATAGCAGCTGCCCAGTCCATTCACACTCAACGCCTGCAGGCCTGGAAATCCAGCAGTGGGCCCTGGATGCACAGCCTTTGCTTAAAAGAGTTTGAGCCTCAGATTTGAATATAGTCCTTAGTGAATTTGTCCTGGTGATAGGAGCACTAAGAAAACATCCTCAAAAAGCCCAACAAAGAGGGTAATTAATTGTTTTTCATTGTAACAATCTTCTTGAATAATACTAAACTCTATTCCAAATTAGGGAGATTTTGCCTATCATAGTTGAGAGCAAACTACCTGTGGGCCTGTGGTGGCCGTGGTGCAGCCAGCCATCCAGAGTGACATGTTCTCTGATTTTTAGACATAGGCATTTGCAATGCCACTTCCGGGGTGCAGCTGGTCAATTGCCTACTTCACACTCTGTAAACCCACACCTTTAAAGGGTCATGACTTCACAGGCTCCCTTTCAGTTCTCCTCCTTTAGCAATCTCAGGGGTCTCTTCATTCCCGCCACGCATTGCGAGATGGATCACCAAGGTTTCCTACCTAAAACAACATCTTTGAAAGTTAATGACAGCTCATAAAATATTGTTGGAAGCAGCTTGTTTACAAAAAATCCGTTTGTTAAGAAATGTTAGCACACTGTGTATGTTACTGTTCATCCAAGCTGATTAACATTCAGGGTTTTCATCAGAGGTGAGGATTTTTAAGTTGTCCTCTCTATCTGCTAAGAATTTTAGATTTTAAACTGTTGGAACTGCATTCAATGTGGTAAAAATGAGCAAATTTACTTGAATTTTTCTATTGTAGTTAAATGAGAAATAATATGATTGCTTTGTTTTGATACCTACTTAATGATGTTCATTGTTGTCATTTTTTATTATACTTTAACCCCCAAATCCAATAAGTGCCAACAATCCTAAATGTCAGGAGGTAATATAACAGAGTGAAAAGACATCCTCAAAAACAAAATTTATAGCCAAATGAAAACCTGATAGCCTATAATTATTTGGGGGGAAAAACTATAGTTTGGAATCCCATCAAAAGAAATTTCACCCACTTAATTTTATTTAAAAATATTTAATGTTAGAAGGCCAGCTAGTTCAAAAATTGTTGGGAAAAATTAAGGACCAGTAATAGTACTTTCAAGAGAACAGACTTACTTTCAAATGACATGGAAGTTTTAAAAACTAGACCAGTTGCAGTCAATTTTAGGTGGTAGAGAATGTTTACTTTTGTTCTGCTTGGCATGGTTTCCATGAGTACATGTTATCTTGATGCAAAATTGAGATGGATGCCGTTAGCAACTGCCCCTCATGAAATCCAGAATAATCTCTAAATGCACTAATGCCTATATAAAAACAACCAATGTTCTTGTGCCTTGTGAGTGAATAATAAACCTTAGCATTAAGCTGGTGTCAGGGCAGGATTCTGTGTTTGAGTAGTAGAGACACAGTATTTCAGTGGGGATATGGTTTACCTGCAGATTAACTGTATCAGCAGCAGAGCCAGCTACTACATGATGGTATATTAATGACACTAAATTTTCCTTGGCATTTAAGTCAATAGTAGGCAAAATAGCAAATTTCTGTGGCTAGGCACAAATCCAGAATGCTTCTGAGACCTTGAGTCCGTGCCCTCCCTGATTCCCCTGCTTCCCTAATATTGGAACTTACCCCCAGGGAAATGTACCAGGCTCTTTTCTTACCCCTTCTGAATACAGGCTGTGCTCAGTCATGTAAAAAAAGACATCTGGATAGAGAGTTGAAAAGCAGCATTTTTATGCCATTAATTTGCTGTGTGATCTAGGGCAAGTCACTTATTGAGTGGGGCACCCAATTGTCACATCTGTAAGATGTCTGTATTGGAATGGAGCAGGAACTAAGTGTTCACTATGATCTTTTCTAGCTCAAAATCTCTATGAATCTAGAAACAACTTTTCTAATATTATAAGAAACTGTGTGTTCCATTACTGAGACAGTGCCGCTCACCTTTTCTCTGGAGCTCATTAGGGACTATGATGGAAGGGCTTCCCAGCCAAGGTCTGGTGGTGAGAGGGAGAGAGATTTGGAGTGGGGAGAATTTTCATTGCCCTCTTGGAATTGGTAAATATCACAGCTACTTTGCCTCACACCCCCAGTTCTTCTCCTAAAATGCTAATGTTGGTCTTAAAAACCACATTTTTTAATTGAAAGTGTACACACAAAAAATATTTTCCTCTGCTCATCTGTATCTATTATTACATTTAGTAGTTTATTAAATTTTATCAAGATTTGTATTCTCAGAGGCAGCTTTCCCTCATTTGACTTCTTCACACACTTTTTTATTTGTGCTTCTTGATATCCATACATTCAGTGACTTTTTATAACCCATAATTCTTCTGCTTGTTAAATCAACAGACTATCCAAGCATATACTTAATTCCAAGGAGGTAACCTTATTTTTGCTGCTATTCTTTATTGACTATTATTTATTCAGAGTTTCTGCTTTTTATTTTTCCTGTGTAATTATTCTGGGATATAGGACCCTTCCTTGTCACCATTTAGCATATCTTAGGACTGCTCCCCCACATAGAGGCTACAAGCCACTACCTTGCACAAAACTGGCTATGAATTTGCAAAGGTTAAGAAATCCCAGAGGAATAATGACTCCAGGAATAAAGTCTTGGCAAATAACTCTCCCTGAGCCCAAGCAAACTTTAAAAATGCCATTTAAAACACCCACAATGGGTAAGTAATTAGTCTGGTGAATTATATGCAAAATGCAAAGATAATATTTCATAGTCTTGACAGCAGAGAGTTCAGAGCTGTTGTGAGGCTGTCCCAAAAGCTGTTCTCAGAGCTCCCTACTGCTCAGGTCACTTTAGGACCAGGAGTTGGGAATTTAGAGAGGCTATCACTCAACTCATAAAGGGACCATTGATTGCAGTGTAGGCATGGCAGGAATTCTTTTCTTTATATGATAAAGTTATTCCTGGACAAAGTTCCATAAACTAAAATTTCTTATTTATTGAATTTTGCTTCCCTACTGACATACACGCATGATCATTACAGTAACTTCTAACAAGGTAACTTTCTTTTCCCTAGCCCCCTGTTATGTGGGTAAATGGTTTGTGTACACTTGACTGCTAAGAAGCCTCACCTTTTAAAGGATCCCTTTAATAATACAATCACCCTCACATATGAGGGCAGCTCTGTACAAATACACAAATAGCTAATGTCCCAAAGAGCTAACTTATAAACTGTTATCGTAATCATGAAGAATAAAACCTGCTTATTTCCCAGACAATAAATTTAAAACTACTTCCACAAAATTAAAAATGTGCCATAAATAAGGACAGGTAATAGTAGACTTTAAAATGGTGAGAATTATAGCACCGTTGATTTTTAAAAACTGAAACATCTCTTTTGACCCTCTTTCCTCTAGAAACTATCATTCCGTCTCTTTCCTTTCCCTTCTAGCTTCTCAAAAATAGAGTGTATATTGATTTCCTCCCTTCTTTTTCCTTAGTGCACACTTGCTCTTTCCAGGATCAGAATGGATAAAGCCTCGGCTGCCAGAACAAAGACCAAAGTAACTTGCTTAAGCAAGAAAAGTTTATTTTCCTTTTGTATAACA